AAATCAAACTGTGACCCTACAGAGGAGTGTGTCTGAGCTCAGCAACAGATGTGTCACACCACTTATCCCAAAGATGAGGAGTTAATTGATTCTATAAATAGTATCATGTAGATAAAAACACAAAGCTACTTAATCTCAGATCCAAAGCACACAGTCTAGCTTTGTTTATCAGTAAAATTATTTGCATTCAAGGGAGGCAGAGTGGGTCAGGTGTTTTACATGTAGATAAACACGGACCTAATTTGATTTCAGGCTATTGAGATATTTGCTTTTTTTATATATATATGTATTGTAGAAGTGCAGGGCTAAACGAGATCTGTAGATTACAGTGGAAGAAAGGCTAGTTCCAATAAAACTGTGTACATACATTCTTGACTAACAACAAATGTTTAGTTCTAGTGCTCTCTTCTCAGTGGATTTATGAGGGCAACTCCACTAATGCTTATGACAATAAGGGAAATAAATGTATCAAAGCAGAAAATATTTTTTTACAAGTCTGAATCAAATAAATATCTGCCATGGTGTTTCTCCCTCATGAACCAATTTGTATTGCCAGAAAAATTGTTGTCCTGCAGAGTTCAGAACATGTTTTTCTAATGGCTCTTTTTGCACAGAGGAAAAAATATATCCCTTTTTCTGTTTCTCTGAACATGTATCTTGTTTTATAAATCTCTCCCCCACCTTCCTCTGGAATGTGTGGCTTCTTCGCCACCTCTTCAGGGGGTCTGAAAAAACAGGTACAAATAATAGCTCTGACAGATAAAAAGTCAATATTCGGGCTTAGAATTCCTGAAGCTACAAAATCAAACAGACTTTAACTGCTTACCAACCACTCATGCAGCGTTACTCTCCCTTATGGCAGCTTCTCTCTCATTGAGAAATAGGAACAAATTGAGATCTCATGTTATTTTAAACCAGGCAAATGCCACTGAAATCAGTTACACCAGCGTAAAGTTAGGGTGAAAACAGAATGAGACCCAATTGCTCTAATTCTCTCCAGGAACTGTCTGTCCCATTCTAAGGATACATCTACACTGGAGTTGGAGGTATTCCAGCTTGGGTAAACACATACAGATCAGTGCTTTACTTGTCTTCTGTAATCTTATGGACCAAATTCAGAGCTGGGGAAAGCAGGAGGCAGCTCCCCTTCAGTCAATACAGATACATCTGTTTACAATCCAGTTCTCCCTGAATAACACTGCAGCTTTTTCGTTTCACAAGGCAAATATATATTTAAGAAATAATGAATAATATGTGCAAGAAGCAAATGTACTCAGCTCACTAGACAACTCAAATAATCAGCCTGTTCATGCACAAGCATTCAAAAGCAGGAAAAACAGATACATTTTAATCGCGGTCTCAAAGACCCATCATTTCATATGATGGATTCTGGCACATAAATGTCTTCTTAACACTGCCAACAGAGTAGTCTTTGTTACAGACAATGACAACATCCTGGTCCAGAGTCTAGCTGCCTGTTTGAGGAGCAGAAACAGTGTCTTGAACCCTGCCAATTAACTTCTCCACTCTGGGGATCAAGACATTGGTGGCTCCTGGAAGCAGAGACTTAGCACTTGATCTTCCAAGCACAGGGCCGTGGTCTGCTCTGCATACTGACGCACTGACATGAGTGTTGCACCAACAGCAGAATTTAGCCTTCGGAGAATAACGTTATGCCTTGTTCATACAATTTGGAAAGTCACTGCAGGAAGTGCACAGTGAGAACACGGGTGCTGAATGCTCTGAGGTCAGACCCAGGAAGGCCATAGCTGAAAAGGCTTCTTGCCCTGGCGACAACTATCTGGCTTCATACAGAGCAGTTCCAGAGCATCGGGCCTGTGACAACTTCAAATGGAGCAGTGTGTGCTCAGCAGCTCTGACAACCACGCCATAGGTATCTCAAGTACGACATTCAGCATCTGTGGTGTTCAAAATTAGAGAGCCCTCTGAAAATGTGGGTGTTATAAAATCATGGCTCTGCTTATCAGTTGAATATGCAGGCTAGGCTCTGATGTGATACAGCAAAACCTGCAGCCAGTAACAATCAGATCCATTTTCATGCCGACTTTGGAAAAGCATGCAGAATGCAAAATGTGTCCCCAACTGTATGAGAAAGATGGCAGGGGTATAACTCGAAACTTCAGTGAACAATAATTACAGGTGAGATGTTTTCTTTCCTCCACTCAATCAGAATAATAAAGCCCCAGTTTTAAAATGCTTCAGGGATGTCTCTCTACAAACCAAATAGTAAATTGTTACAAACGTAAACAGCAATATGTGAGTTACAAAGTAGCCAAAAATAAGGCTAGTCCTAGTTTTGTGCCATGTATCTGACTGGACAGGGAATCTGGCATTTCAGGGGACCACAGGCTGCAGGAGCATGGGTTTAAAGTTCACTTTAGCCAGCCATCCTGAAGACATGTACTTTTTCTGGGACTGCAATCCCTGGCAGCAGAAAGTTAAGGTTGGAGCTGGAAGCTTTGCCATTTGGCCAGTCTAGAAGACTGCTGACTCCTTGCAAGTGCAATGTTCAGACACATACTGGACCCCAACTATTTATACCTTTGATTTATAGATTGGTTACTAACATGTTTCAGTTACAAGAGCTTCCCCTCTCTCACTGAGTACAAAGTGCTGTCCTTGATGGATTCTTGGCTTCTATTGCAAAGGAGCAATCACCAACAGCCCTGCAAAAGCCAGAGTGCAGAAGTGATCTTGGGGCTGCCTGGTTTCCCTAGTAGGGGCAAACAGAAGAGAGATTGAGCATAGAGAAGATTCCTTTTTTATCAAAGCTTCAGCTGAAAGCCAAGGAATCCAGTAGCTGTGTCCAGGAGCTCGACTAATATCTCTGGTGAAAAAAGAACTGATAGCAGTAGGGGGTTCAATACTCACCTCAGGTAGTTTAATGATTGTAAGTGCTATGTATATAGAAACTCTGAAACCTGCTATGTATATAGAAGCTCCTGCCACTAATACACTGGGAGCATAGACCAAAGAGGGGATCAATTATAATTAAACATTGCCCTGAGCCACAGAGTTCAGATTCCAGTCCAAACCACTCCAAATTTTCAGAGGCGAGCTGGATTAGAGCCTAGCTCCACTTAACCTTTTGGAAAGTCCAGTTACTTCCTTCCAGGCTAATGTAGTCATACAGTGCCCTCTTTCCTTCTATAGCTGCATTATTTGTTTCAGAGTAGCTGCCGTGTTAGTCTGTGTTTCTCAAAAAGAAAAGGAGTACTTGTGGCACCTTAGAGACTAACAAATGTATTTGAACATAAGCTTTTGTGAGCTTCAGCTCACTTCATCGGTAGCTCACGAAAGCTTATGCTCAAATAAATTTGTTAGTCTCTAAGGTGCCACAAGTACTCCTTTTCTTTTTGCATTATTTGTGTATCTTAATCTCGAGGTCCTTTGATCTCCCAATGCTTTTCACAACTGAAGCTCCCCGTCAGTGGGTTGTCTTCCTTCCAGCTGAATATTTCACTAGGGCCTAACTGCAGCTGTTTAGAAATAGAGATATTTAGCTTCGGGGTGACTACCTAAGATCTGCTTGAAGAAACTAGCTTTGGATTTAACCATCCCTTTTTAATAACTACTCTGTTGATGCTTATGCTGAGGAGTGGGAAAAGTTTTAAATTTTGCTTTTACTGTCTAGCCACTTCAAATGTTTAATAATAAATTCTCTCCACTACTACACCAAAAACCTGGGCTGTTTAAACAGGTTTTTAGCTATAATAAACATCTTTTAACTCATTTTTATTAAGTTTACATACGTAATAGAGATAAGTGGCAAAGAAAATCCAAGCACTAAGTACAAAATAAACTCTTCAGAATCCTTCCTACAAAGAATTTGAGAACTTTAATATGAATTACATACACCTCCAGCTTTTCACATAAACCAGAGACAATGTTTAACAAAAATAACAATCAAATGTGAGGGGGAAGAAGTAAAATCAGAAATGTGATATGAAACTTGGTAATTTAAAGAACTGGAAGAGCTATTTCAGAGTCAAGTTATTTTTAGAAGAATCCTTGGCTAAGGCTCTAATTCACCTAGACAGAGACAAGGAAAACAGTGCATAGAATGGAATAATATTTCAGGAAAACAAACAGAAACTACGGTACTTTAATATTTGATGCACTGTTGTTGCTGAATAATGGAATTTTTGAAGCACAAGCACCCAGATTAAAAAGATACAGGAAGCTGAAATCATAGTAGCTGAGAATGTTAGTGCTACTACTCCTATTAGTCTGTTGGACAAAGGATGTGGCTTTTGATTTCATTTCTACGTGTTTCAACTCTAATCAGAGTAGATTTCAAAACAATCATTTTGGGATTGACTCAGCAACAGTTTGGAGCTCTGTTACCCCAGTTTTAGGTGACTTCACCAGGGCCAGGTTTAGGCACAGGGTAGACATCTCTGTGAAGGGCACAAGAAAATACCATTTTGCCTAAGAGACGCTGTACTTCACCCCCTGGAAGCATGGCTGTAAGAGGAGGTCACCCAGGCAGAGGACATATTACCACCCTAGCAAGGGTGAATGGAAGATAAACGGGAGTTTCAGAGGAGAGAGAGTTAGGAAACTGGGAATGAGAAGAGATGGACACTTTAGGAAACCAGCTAGGGTGGAATCAAGGAAGAACAAGCTGGTAAGGAATGTTCTTACCTAGGGCTTGAATTTCATCATCACCCCTGGCTCAGTCACTATAGAGTTTCTGAACCAAAAATTGAAATGACAGTCTATTTTGTTTGTTTCACAGAACTTGGATTCTCACCTTGACTACAACCTCCCCTTCCTCCTCTCTCACCCACTTTTACAGGGCTGCCCTAGTAGCAGATTTAGGGTCTTTAGTAGAGTAAGAAGTAATGAATTTTAAAAAGGAACAAAAAGAGAATTAAAACTAAAAAAGGGCTTAATGAATTAAAACCCTTAAATGGTATCAAAGCAGAAAATTACAGAAGAGGAACAGACTGTAATCAAGTGTAGAAATATAATACCTTTTGTGTTGTCCCCTTCTTGTAGTTGCTTTAAAAGAAAAGTTCTCCCTTGGTATTAAGCCCAGGGAATATCTGATGATAATGTATCTGTCAGAGAAAAGAAAGATTTATTATTCTGTGCCAGGAGAGGTAACAACTATGTTTACATAATGAATGAAATTTATGTAGTAAAAACCTTTCAATTTTCAGCTTCCTTGATTCCACCCTGCTTTCATGCACAGATGTGAATCAGTGTTTCTGAATTACAGGGGAGGGCTGGAAGCACAGGGGAGGCACAGGAGTGAATGCAGCCTCAAAAGTCTGTTTCCCCCAACCCCAGACACCATGGAGTCTAAAGTCTGTAGAAGGGATATATTTGGGGAAGTAGGTAGTCAAGCTCCCTTCAATTCTCTTACAACACAGGATACATAGAATAAGTCTGCTGTGACACAGGCTGTTGTCCCCTACCCTGGGGTGGAAACATTTGAAGATTTCTGGAGCACCTGGCACGATGATTCCTGAAGGAACCATACTGTCAAGGGCCTAATGGAGCCAGGTGGCAGGATATTGGCTAGGAGTCTCCATGAAGATAGATATCCCTTTCTTCTGGAGGATCCCTGAGATCCATTGGCTTGGGAACCTGAAAATGTGGGTTTCATCCACAATGGTGGGAAATAAACACCAACATTCCCAAAATGTGAAAGTTCTAACTCGGTTTTTTGACTCCGCTAGAGGAGTTGTTCCCACCTAGGAGAAAACAGCCCGTTTAAAAACCATGCATCAATATCAGCAGCTTTGAAAATATCTTTTCTAGACAGTACAAGTCTAACCGCTTTTTTTTCATGCTTGTGGTTAAACATTCCTGCTGTCTTGTAAAGGATGTGACTGACTCCATTGCACTGTAATAAAAGGTGCTTTTCTTCCTAACTGAACTGAAAATACCTTATTAATATCCGGCTACATTGTTTGGAAATTCTAGTTTGTGCAAAACTCAGACATCTTCCACAGATCAAAAGGGCCACATATAATTTTAATTTGAGGAAAACATTTACCTTGGTTCAGTATCCCAATTCAGAGAAAGCTAATCGAGAATCAATATGGAGGCAAACAGCTACTCCAAGAGTGCATCAGTTCTTCAGCTACTCAACTGACACACGGGTAGAAGAAAGAACCCCAAAAAGGGAAGTGGGGGGGGTCAGTGCTTTCCAATTAAACATTGTACAGTAATTATTTATTTGTAGGGCAGTAACACTACGTGGCCCCCAACAGAAAGAAGTTCATTCTCCTCAATGGGGAAAGGGCTGGGCTTTGAATGTTAATTTTACACAAGTTTTAAGTTCAAACAAAAGGAGAGAGGTTAAGTGGTATTTATTTTACAACTAGACAATGCCCAGGAATTTCAGATGTAAACCAATCCTCCTTGAGAGCTGGTGCCTCTCCAGCTCCATTCTCCTTCCCTGCTTCTTCGGCCAAGTGCACTCAGACCAGACAACTCCCCAGACCACCCTTCCTTGATTCCTCACATTCTACAGCCTATCCTCAATACCAGATACACACAGATGCTCCTTACAGTTCCACTCTATAGCCGCCTTCTTAGCTTTACACCCTGGCTGCAATCTGAAGGGAGGGAAGGTAAGTAAATTAAGGCCTGGTTTACACTACAGAGTTAGGTCAAGGCAAAGCAGCTACGCCAATTTAATAAAACCATCTCCCCACACAGCACAGAGTCAGAGTTAATGTAGTTTAGTCAACAGTGCGAGAGTTGACACTGGTTACTTACGTTGACCATTACTGGCCTCCAGCAGCTGACCCACAATGCCATACACTGCCTGCTCTGGTCACCATTGTGAACTCTGCTGCCCAGGGAACTCTGCTGCCCAGGCTACTTAAGGCCCTGTGAACTTTTGAAAATCCTTTTCCTGATTGCCCAGCTTAGCGAGCACGCCTAGCAGCTCTCCATAGCCATCCAGCTGCTCTTTATAGCCACCCAGCTGACCATGCTGGCTACATGCTCCAGGTGTGCTCCTGCCTAGAGCAGGCAGGAGATACTGGATCTCCTGGGCCTGTGGAGAGAAAAGGCCGTGTAGGCACAGCTCTGAACCAGCCGCAGAAATGTGGACATCTATGAGCAGATTGCTTGGGTTGGGCGGGGGGGGGAGGGAAGAGGGAGAAAGATGAGGGAGAAGCAGCAGAGCTGTGTGAAAGCAAAGGAGCTGCAGCAGATAGACCAGTAGGCCAAGGAAGCCAACAACTGATCCGGTGCTGAGCCACAGACCTGCTGCTTTTACAAAGAACTGCATACCACCCTCAGCGGAGACCACAGTACCACCCCCAACAGCACCCTGGATACTTTCAAGGAGCCCAAGTCACAGGCCCTACTGTGAACAGCAAGGAGGAGGAGGTGGACAAAGAAGAGGAGGAGGAGCATGGGGGACGACAGGTGAACATGAAATCCAGCTGTGCAGCAAGCTAGGACCTGTTTTTGACTCCACCATAGTCCAGCTAGTCCCACCTGTCTAGCACTGGTGAGCCAGATGCAGGGGAAGGAACCTCTGGTAAGTATGCAGTTTACTTGGAAATTACAGGGATGGCACCCACAAAGCAGCAGGACACATCTTTTGATTTACTCATTTTTACTTGTGGTAGAAGAGGTAGTGGAACAACCAAGAGAGGTAGAGTTGCTATCTGCTTTTCATTCCCCTCTGCAGTTAGGCAGTGGGGGCCATACAGAGCAGTTTGTTTCTGTGCACCAGGAGGTCCCAAGAATCCTCCGTAGAGATCTCAGTGAAACATTCATGGAGATACTCTGCAATCCTCTGCCAAAGGTTTCCAGGGAGGGCTGCCTTCTTCCTTCTGCCGCAGTAGGATGCTTTTCCAAGCTACTCAGCGATTATGTCAGCCGGCACCACTGCACTATACAGGCTAGCAGCATACGGTTTCGGGTGGCATTGGGACGCCAGCAGCAGCTGTGCCCTGCCTCTTACCCTCAGGATTGAGGTATCAGCTAAAATCATCACCATCTGGGGAGAACAGTGCCAGTATTCAGTTCCATTGCCCTATACAACTAGAATCATGCAACTGAACTATTCTCTCCTGATTTCCCCAACCCCCAGAGGGCCACACTCACCATGGCTGGTGACATGACTGGCGCCATGCTCAATCAATCCCAAGAAGAAGTGAGCATGTAGTGTTACAACTTTTGGGGAGCCAGAGGAGTGAGTTCGGCATCTTAAGTTTTTATTTCTGTCATCAATACACTGACAATGGTACCTCTGTGTGTTGTGTCTGCAGCTGCAGACATTACAGCCTTCACGGTCCCCTCCACACACAACCGGAATGCCTGAGCTAGATGGGGGAGGGGGCGGGAAAGAGGACTCGGGCTGGCATATTTCAGGAGATCCTGCAAGCCAGTGCTGCATCAGAGAACGAGCATAGGGCCTGGAGGATCACCCATGCAGACAGCCTGGAGAAGGATAGAGTAGAGAGGAGAAAGAGGCAGGAAAAGAGGAGGGGCATGCAGCAGGACAGAGAGCAGAGATGCTGCAGACTCTGGTAGACTTGCAGGTTGAACAATCCCATGCTCGTCTCCATCTGCAGCCCATAGAGGACTCAATATTGGGACCTTCCTATACCCCCCTCAACATTCCACGTGACATTAGGGGTCGGTGCACTACCCCTACCACTGCACCTGGGGGGACATTAAAGACAATTACAACTTCACATTCACTGAACTGTGAAAGCCATGGTTGGTGTGGGTATACGTGAAATCAATGTTCTCTCCCCTTCATAAGTTCTGTTCCCTTAATCTATACATTTTAAATTATTATTTGTATTGCCTGGTTCATGTTACAGAATAAAATTCTTTTTTTGGTAACAAAATTAATCTTTATTAGTTCACAGCATATGCTTGCTGGTGCTGAGCAGGTCTGACAGCACCTGATTATCTGTTACTGCATTGTGTCACACAACTCATATCATCATTCACAAACAATATTTATAGGTACATTGACAATGTTATATTCCTATGTACACAGCAATCAGAAGATGATTCATACCAGGTCACAAAAGAGCAAGGCCAGGTACAGCACACTACTGCAACACACACTACCCTGGCTCACTATTAAAATGGTGTTTCAAAGCCTCGCTGAACTGCATAGCTCCTCATTGAGCTCTTCTAATAGCCCTTATATCTTGCTGTTCAAATTCATCAGACAGCTACTTCATCTCTGCAGAAACTTTTCCCCCTTTGCTTCACAGATATTATGCATGACACAGCACACAGCTATAACCATTGGATATTCTTCTCACTGAGGTCCAACCCTATAAGTAAACAATGCCAGTGACCCTTCAAACAATCAAAGGCATATTCAATTGTCATTCTGCACCTGCTGAGCCTGGAGTTGAAGTGCTCCTTGGTGCTGTCAAGGGTGGCTGGTGTATGGCTTCCTAAGCCATGGGAGCAAGGGGGTAGACTGGGTTGCCCAGGATTACGATTGGCATTTCAGCATTCCCAGTGATAATCCACTGGTCGGAAAAGGAAGTCCTTACTTGCAGCTTTCTGAATAAGCCTGAGTTCTTAACGATGCATGCATCATGCACTTCTCTGACCAGCCCACAGTGATGTCGGTAAAGCATCTCTGGTGCTCCACCAGCGCTTGCATTATCATAGACAAGTAACCCTTTCTGTTGACGTACTTGTGGCAAGGTGATCTGGTGCCAAAATAGGGATATGTGTGCCATCTATGACCCAACTGCAGTTTGGGAACCTCATTGCTGAAAAATCATCCAGTATCTCCTGCACATGACTGAGAATCACAGTCCTGCATAGCAGGAGGTGACTAATGGCCCTGCAGACTTAAATGGTAACAGCCTCTGTAGTGGATTTTCCAACTTCAAATTGATTCCCGACTAACCGGCAGCAATCTGGAGTTGCAAGTTTCCACAGTGCAATTGCCACTCGCTTTCAACTGTCAGTGCAGCTCTCATTTTGGTGGCCCTGCGCTGGGGTGAGTTCAGCACACACATTCAGGAATGTGATCTTGTGCATCCAAAAAGTTCTGCAGCTCCTGCTCATCATCCCAAACCTGCATTACGATGTGATCCCACCA